AGAAAATTTTAGATTAAAAGAAAAAAAAAGAGTTTATACAATGCCATAAAATTTCAGATTAAAAAAAATGAATTTATACAATGCTAAAAAATTTTAGATTTAAAAAATAAATTTATACAATGCAAGAAAATTTTAGATTTAAAAAAATGATTAAAATGCTAAAATATTCTAGCATTTTATAAATTCATTTTTTTATCTAAAATTTTCTAGCATTGTATGAACTCAATTTTTTTCTTTAATCTAAAATTTTCTAGCATTGTATTAACTCAATTTTTTTCTTTTAATCTAAAATTTTCTAGCATTGTATAAAGCCAATTTTTTCTTTTAATCTAAAATTTATTGCGTTGTATAAATTCATATTTTTTTCCTACATGTATTTGTAAAATTTAAATGTTTATATAACCCAGGCTTTGAAGATGATCTCAATAAAGATCGAAACGTTGGCACGATAAAGAAAATCTTTACCTAAAACCTACGAAGATTCATCATTGGCTAAAGGTCACCAAACACCACACATGTTCATTTTAGTGTTTCATAAGAGATTGATCTTACTTAGACATTGTAAAATGACCACTTAATTTTTTTTCAGTGATGGAATAGTTGAAAATGGATAATGGGAAAATATAATATATGTGATTTCATGGTTTAAATCCTTTAAAATATCATGTATAACATTATTTTATAACACGAAAAAAATGTACATTGACTTTTAGCCGTATTGCTCTTATATTTTGTCCAATCGGCTAGAAAATAAAACGTATTTATTATTTTAGATTCTGCGTAATAAAATATATACATACTTAAAATTGACTTTTACTACAAAAATAATAGAGTTATAACGTAATAACTACCTAGATTTTCCAGCACAGGGAGTAGAACTGAACCAGATGGAGGCAGAAAAGTTACTGGAAACGCACTCCTGGTTTCTCCCATCGTTCAAACCTTGGGATATGGCCAAACTAAAGAAAAACGAGACACTCCACTAGGGCTGTGCTCCAGTAACCCAAAAAACCACCTACCTGTTGTGGTCTTGGGGCTCAGCAATGGGCACAGATCGCGTTCCGGTATCTTAGGCCATCGGGATTGTTAAATGGATGTAGTGATTATGTTGCGTTTGTGTTCTGTATCTGTGTTGTGTTTATGTTAATTTATTCGAATGAATTTATTAGCGTGAATGGAAGGGGCTGTTTAATCCCGCCTCAAGGAATGTTGAGTGTTCTGGGGAGTGTGTGGAGTCTAGAGAGTATAAGGTATTAGCAACAATCGAGTGGTTGAATCCCACCCCAAGGAATATCGAGTACTTTGGGGAAGTGAATGTGACCAAACTTCCATGTTTGTGGTGATGTTTATGCGGTGCTGTATTTTTTGTTTTCTTTAAGTTTTCACAGAAAAGCCGCGAGTCAGTAACAAATTGACGATAATAAATGTGCGTGAAAGACCAGAAACCGCCCCTAAATATCCTCCGCCTCTACATTATTACTATTATTATTATAACCACTACAATTTCTATTATACAAAGACAAGACCGATAAGTAAGGACCAACTAGCATCGAATTGTCTTTTGCTACAAAGACAATATTTAACTACCTCAGAATAGGCTAGACTAATAGACATATTTTCTGCAATAATGATTACATAACTACTTCCGAATTTAATATCACTTCGAAGACAAATGGTAATAAGGAAAATGATAGTACATATTCTTATTTACACAACATAGGGCATGTTGCTAACAAACAAAAATTCTTTACAATTTTTTGCGTTTTAAAAGTATCAAAATAATCAATGATTTAATATTTTTGATATATTATTATTTTTAAGGAGGAGGGAACTTTTTGTCTTTCTGCTTTTTGCTGATGCTTAGGTTAGACTTAGTCCTTAAAACTCCTGGCTAAATACGGAGCTTAATTGCTGTTCATTCATTAATATTAGCTTTTTTACGACACAAGCATAGATAATATACGTGAAATTAAATTTTTTAGCTTAACATGCTGATAAATTTAGAAAGTTAGCAAAGAAAAAAATAATTTAATTATAATGAACAGGTATTGAAATCCTAAAAACTGCAAACTCTTGTGCAAATGGAATTTACAATGCGTGTGAACTTAGTGAAACATTTTCACTGTTGTTTGGCAACATTTTTTTAATTTTTTCCTTTCGGGTATTTCCCCCCTTTTTTCCCCCCATACAAATTGGCTAATTCCTCCTACGTGACATTACGGCAGTAAACAGAAATTAGCCTCGGCAGAGTTTCGGTGGTAAAACTTGTAGGGCCCCGAGGATGCACGGTTTCGGAAAGTGAATCAAGGAACAAGGGAGAGGTGATTTCGTTATTGAAACTTTGCGGCTAATTACTTTACAAACTGGGTTGCAACATGCCAAGGAGTGCCCAAAGAGCGTCAACTTATAATCACAGATGAACATTTCGGCATTCACTAGTTTTCCTTCATCACATTCGCCCACGCTAACTCAAAGGGGAAGAATTGAACTTTGAAAGTTAAGCTTCAAACGAACAAAAAACACCAAATAATCCAAAATGTGTTGTGTTTAGTGAGTTAGTCAATGATTATTTGGAGAGCGTGAAATGCGGTCTTGTGGGACGTAGGTTTTAGAAAAACATTAATTTTCTTTACCATGCCAAAGTTTCGAATTTTGTTGAGGTTATCTTCAGGTCCTGGGATTTATAAACATTGTTTATATTTTACAAATACATGTAGGATGTAAAAAAAATGAATTTGTACAATGCTAGAAATTTTAGATAAAAAAATAAATAAATACAATGCTAGAAAATTTAACATTAAAAAAAATTGTACAATGGTAGAAAATTTTTGATTTAAAAAAATTATACAATAAAATTTTAGATTAATTAATTTTCTAGCATTGCATAATTTAATTTTGTTTTTAATCTAAAATTTTCTAGCATAAAAAAATAAATAAATAAATAAAATGAATACAATGCTAGAACATATTAGATTAAAAAAATTGTCCAATCCTAGAAAATTTTACATTAAAACAAATTTGTACAATGCTAGAAAATTTTAGATTAATTAATTTTCTAACATTGTATAAATTAATTCTGTTTTTAATCTAAAATTTTCTAGCAGTGTATATCTTTTTTTAATCTAAAATTTTCTAGCATTGTGAAATTTTTTAAAATCTAAACATTTCTTGCATTGTATTCATTTTATTTATTTATTTTTTAATCTAAAATTTCTAGCATTGTATAAATTTATTTTTTCACATCCTACATGTATTTGGAAAATGTAAACAATGTTTATAAATCCCAGGCTCTAAAGATGATCTCAATAAAGATCGAAACTTTGGCACGATAAAGAAAATGTTTTTCTAAAAGCTACGTCTCACCAGACCGCATCTCACGATCTCCGAATAATCATGATACAAAATGTTACAATAAATATTTTCGTATCCTTTTACTCGACTTGCATAAGAACACAATTATACAATTATAAGTATACAATTTCATTAAATCATCCCTGATAACTTATTAGTTTTCGCTGGTAATAAAAGAAAAACAGTCGAATAAAAATTGCGACATATTTTTCCTTTAGAAATTAATCTAAAAGTTTCTTTAGAGATGCTTTAAAATAACCGAGAAGATGATCCATTTCTTCTTGAAAACCAAACCGTCATTAACCACTGCCACCTAAAGGCAGACTTAATGAATTAGGTGCTAAAGTTTGTTTGAATTAAAATGTTCCATTTTAATGTCTTATTAAGGAAAAAACTTTCGAGAAAGAGAAAATTCAATGAAACACATACCAAACCGAACGGATTAAGTTTTTTTAAATATATTTTATAGGTGGAACTGCAAAAGTTTTGAACGTAGGATGAGACGTGCTATTCAACCTAAATATTGGCCAGAGCTTTCGACAAAATAATTAATTGATGTATTTTGAAATAGATAGTTCATCTTCTATACAAGTAAATGATTATTATTCCAATGGTCGTAATCATTTTTGTCTGATTTAGTTAGGTACTTTACTGAAGTATATGACAATTACCCGCTTCCTTTTCTGATTTCTGGGTGTTTCATTCTTGTTCTTCTTCACAGTTTGATTCTTTTACTTTCGTACGAAAAAATAAATGCTATTTATATGAGAGGTTGTTGCTGGCCCCCGTTGATGAAGTAGTGATGGGATGTAGTCTGAACCTCGAAAAGGGAAACAGGTCGGTGCTGTTCGAAACCGCCCTTATAAATCTCTCCAGGGAAACAATATACAACCTGAGCCTACATCCAAGCCCAACTTTATACTCTCGAAGGGTAGGTAGACCCGTACCGCCTCAGGATGATCCACCTTACAAATCACTAAGAAAATAGCACCTACAAGTTTAAAGCAAACAACAACATTTTTATGTTATTTCTTGACAAAAATTGTACTATACATATTACGATAGTTACATTTTTTAAGCATGTTAGATATTTGGCATAAAAATACAAAACCAGCCTATTTCGTTTAATACGTAAAAAAACTTCTCAATCAAATCGAACAGTATCAAATTGAACGAGTATAAACGAGGTAAAATTTTATTAAAATGGTATTTTTACTTTTCCTTAAAATCTTTTTCAGAGAAATTCAATACTCTCAGCAAGCTTTCCACTAATTAAAAAACCTTTCTAAGTCATAATTTTACTTTTATTTCAACGTCAGATGAGATTTTAAATGATAACAATCTGTAGTTCAGACGTGTTTTTAACTTCAATTTGCAGATTCACGAAAGTTATACCTTGCTAATTTTTGGTTCAGTACGTAATAAATAGGATAATTCATCAAAAGAGATTCCACAGGAACGGTTTTCCTAATTTTAGCCATGTTAAACACATTAATTGGACGAAGTCGATCATTAAAAGCGGATAATGAAGGTTCATTCGGTGTAACTATGATCGTATCAGGACTATACTAAAGCACAAGACCACATCTAACATCTAATATTACAATAAATACAAATTACCTTAGATATCGTAATTATGGACTTTTTATTTACGGCTTATCTGCAATCTATTAAACAATGGTAATTTGGATAAAACATGTATTTTAGTATTATACATTCATATTTAAACGATTATTTGAGTAGTACAGCAAATTCGTACTGTCTTCTCGACGTAATACGGCACTTTTTTTCTCGACTGTGACCGCACGTCATAAGGTTTGGGGACGTCGTAGTAGACTTTCACTGGGACGGGGACTTCTTTATACTTGAGGACTTTGACCAACTTGATTACTTCAAACGGCACTGGTTTCTCGACTTTGTAAGGCACTGGGTGATGCACTTCGACTTTGACGGATACTCGGATGATTTTCTCCGCAAAGTACGGTCCTTGAACGAATAGGATATAAAAAATTAAATACTTTAAGATACGATTCTTATATAGACCAATTTTGAACGGAAAAGTAAAGAAAACTAACTATTCCAGTTGTGTCGAAAAAATAAAAATTCCTAAATAATATTTTTTGATATAAATCGGTTGTATTATTAAGTAACTTATTATGTAAGTAGTAATATTGTTGGGTGGCAATAAAATAAGAAAATTATACTNTGTAATTATATATATATATATATTTTTTTTTTATATCGGCAAAATTATGTACATTTCAGTCAAATTGGTGGGATTTTTCATTGTACTTTAATTTTACGTAGCCGTCTTTTTCTTCTTTACGAAGTCCCACTTGGGAGGGCTTGTAGACTTCGTAGTATCTTGAGCTTTGACGTAAACTTGGACTTTTTTCTCTACGGTGACTGGATAAGGTTTTTGGACGATCACTTCGTAAGGTTTGGACACTTCGATGTATGGCTCGACTGGGACTTTGACTTCCACGGGTACCTTCTTCTCTACGAAATATGGCCTTTTTTCTCGACGGTGACCGACATGTCATAAGGTTTGGGGATGTCGTAGTAGACTTTCACTGGGAAGGGGACTTCTTTGTACTCGGGGACTTTGATCTCTTTGACTACTTCATAGGGAAGTGGTTTCTCGACTTTGGAAGGCACTGGGTGAGGTACTTCGACTTTAACCGACAGGGTAAGGTTCTGGGACGTACAGTTTGACTTCGACTGGGACATTCCTCTTAACGGTGTAGGCTTAACCCTTGACCTTAACCCGGTGCGAAACTTTTTCCTCCTTGGTTCAGACTAACGTCCTATGCTGCTTGATTTGTTTTGTACTCTAGGACTTTAACCTCCTTGATTACTTCGTACGGCTCTAGTTTCTCAACTTTGTAAGACACATGATAGGGTAACAAGGGTTGACGGGCACATGGACGATACGGGCTCTCTACCGGATACGGGCGTGGGACGTACTTGACTACCACGGGTACCTTCTTCTCCACGGTGTACGGAATAGGTTGTACGACCTTGTAGAGCACGATCTACATGAATGTGAACTGGATACTTCTCTTCCTTTTCGACCTTAACCGGGTACGGAACGTTTTTCTCCTTGGTCACATATGCTGCTTGATTTCATGGCAGCTGTTATGCTCCTCCGCCGAAGCCTTCAACACTAACACTAAAAATAAAGCAACACTAACTGGCTTCATCTCGAACTCAACTGATAAGTAGTGCCCTACTGCCTCCTTTTTTTATATTGCAAATTAAATCATTTTTGGTCAATGCAGTGTATAAACTATCGTGATTTAATTGAAATGTAATTATAAAAAATATGTCATAATATTTTTCGAAGTAGAAAAACTTAGTTTGTATGTTCGTGGATCAATGGTAGTAATTCTTGCTGTTAGTATGAAACTATGATAATGTAGTATCGTGAAAAGAATCAGGGATATATATATTAGATTTAGAACATTGGATTACACTTAGTTTTCTGTTTGTGATTTTCTTTTGTGAGTTTCTAACCCAATGCGAGATATATAGAGCGATTCATTATTATCTATGCGTGATTTGTTACCTAGCCCATAATTTTAAATTTAAAAAAATTTCAACTTTTTGTAATTTTATCGTAAAATTTTGCAACAATCCCCATCCATAGTCATCCGGCACGTTAACGAAGTTCATTGACTAAGATTAATAATGGGAATAAGGTGCGACGACATGGATTCTAATTAGGAATAGCGAGGGGAAAACGTGTGAAGTTTCACTCTGAGGCAAACGAGAAACTTGCTTCTCGAACGGAATATATTCGATTTTGTTGAAAGTATAATAACACTACAATTTTATAATAATTGGTAGATTTGTTGCTGTGTAGGTTTTTTTCAAAATGAATGATATTATTTTATTGTTATAAGAATGCATTATGGTGTTTATGCTTCAGGATGTTTTTTGATCTAAAACGTCAATACAAACAATACAAAGCTTATTTGTTGATCTCGACGTACAAAAATAACACAGTTTCGTATTTTCTACCACCGGGAATGTAAAAGTGCAACAACACCGAGTCATTGTCAGAGCAGAATGGCAAGAATGGTAAAGAAGTTGACAAGCCAGTTGAAACGCATGTTTAGTAGCGGTTTTGGTGACAGTTAATTCAGTGGGGTCGCGTTTCCACAGGCATGTATGACCCCCGCCGAGATGTTTCATGCTTGTTTTATACACGGTACATTATGTGAAGTGTGCTGTATTTTTTGTTGTCATGTGACGTATATTCATCACTCTTTGTCAGTTTTTGTTTATATTGCAAGTAATAACAATTACGTTTGGCCCTATTAAGAATCAACGGCTTACACTGTATGGCTGTAATAAAAACAAGTTAAAACAGCAAATATAGAAATTATAACACAAGAATTTTTTGCCTTTTGTTGGTGGCAATAATATGATTTTTAATTCCATTATATTTCGTGGTCCCATTGACCAGAAACGTCTTTCGATTAAATAATCTTTATGGAAGGTATTGGTTGAAATAAAAAAGCCAGGGTCACGAGCGGGATTCGAACCTTAACGGCTAAATACGCCGCTAGTCTACCACTTGAGCTATCGTAACTTCGATTTACTTGGACACCAACTCCCCATCTCAACCTTCAATCTTTCGAATTTTCACTCTTTTTCAAATATCGTGTAATCAGGGTTCGATTCTCGGCGACTTATGAAGTGGCCACGGAGAGCTTTATTGAAGATACACTTCGTTTTACTGCGTGATGTTTTTTAACCTTTAGCCAATGATTATTCGGAGGTCGTGAGATGCGGTCTGGTGTGACGTAGGTTTACAAAAACATTTTCTTTATCGTGCCAACGTTTCGATCTTTACTGAAGATGATCTCAATAAACATCGAAACGTTGGCACGATAAAGAAAATGTTTTTCTAAAACCTACGTCACTCCAGACCGCATCTCACGATCTCCGAATAATCTTCGTTTTACTTATTAAATCCATTATATTTCGTGTCTATTCCATTTGTCGCCGAGAATCGAATAGATTACACAATGATAAGAAAACTGGCAAAAAGGAGGGAGAATTCGAGGTGGGTTGAGATGGGAAGTTTGTCAGAGTGGATTGAAGTGACGATAGCTCAAGTGGTAGAGAAGCGGCGTATTTAGCCGAAGGTCGTAGGTTCGAATCCCGCTTGTGACACTGGCTTTTTTATTTAAACCAATACCTTACATAAAGATTAAGTAATATGATTTTTGTTAGTCTCTTGGTTGTTGTAATAAAATTTTGGTTATAACATTTACAACTATTTCGATTTGGCTAGACGATTTTTATTTATGAACAAATAACGTACAATAGTGATTGATTGTTTATGTTTATACAGGGTATTACAGGGATAAATGTCAATACTGCCATGGTGGAGTCACTAAATAAAATGTAGTTCAGTGGCACCAGAACGAGCTTTTTCTCTTGAATCTTTCTTGAGATATTAATATTTTTGTGATTTTAGTCTAAAAATCAGATTTTTTCAGATAAAATCATATTTTCTTAACTTTAGCGGCTTTCCAATACAAATCTGACCTGTATTTCGCAAACTACATTAATGTTTTCATAACATAACATTTCCGCTGAAAAATTCGCTCTTCCGAATACATATCACCCGCTTAATGATAATAAATAGCAAAACCCATTTTTGTTTTAAATATTCAATTGTGGCTCATGCGATGACTTTTCCGTCAAAATTGTTTGGTATTTCGTCAAAATCGCCTTATGTTATAAGAATTCCAAGAGCGTACTCATTTTTATCGATTTTTAGAAATTTTCTTAGTGATATTTTCTTTGCATGGTTGAAAAATGTGATATCGAACCCAAGGAAAGAAGCAACCCAAGAACTTCGTACATGTCATATTTTTAATAAAAACATTTATTATTTGGTAACAGATCCATTTCCCTTCTTCTTTCCCTCATGTCATTGCACGTAATTTCAGTTTTCTCAATTCAATTTTCTCTGATACGAGAAGAATTGAATTATCGCGCCAGCGGTAAAAATCCTAGGTTTAATAGGAACAAAAAAGTTTTTTTTTACATTTTTTTTTTGTTTTTGAATTTACTGTTGTTGTTTTTTTACTCGGTAATGCTTTTTTTTAATTAGGCAAGAAAAATTTTCTTTTAAAATGACTTATTTTTATAACCAAACCTATTTTTGGTATGAAAAATATGAATAAGCCTATAAAGATTAAAATTTAACATACTCTACGCTAATATCATAAATCAAATTTGATATCAATAACACACAGAATATATAGTACAACTTACAAAACAATCATTGCACTCCACACATCAAACAATTTCTATAGTCTAAATCCCCCACAATTTATCCTTCCTTTCCCCTAATAATCCCGTCTATAATTTTCCTGAAAAGATAATTAAGCCCGAGCGACAAACCATTGCCCATTTTTCCAATTGCGGTTCCTTTTCTCACAAAAAAGCCGGCTTCTCATTGAAAAATGAATATCTCTACTTCCTTCCCAACTCCTTCAAAATCAAACATATATAACCGAAAAACATGAATATCTATTTTACTCTCACTCTCAACACGACACACAGTAATGACACATCTATACAGAAAACTAACACTTTGAGGAGCACAAATAGTTTGATCGAGTCAAAAATTTCTATCATTATATAAATACATTTGTTTACATCTTACATGTATTCGTATAATTTAAACCATCTTTATAAATCCCATAAATTGCTGGCCCTGAAGATGATCTCAATAAAGATCGAAACGTTGGTACGATAAAGAAAATATTTTTCTAAACCTACATCGCATATCACGATTTCCAAATAGTTATTGGCAAAATTAAATAAAATTAATTTGAAGTTAAGAATGGGTTAATTTAAAATTTAAAGCGTTATAGAAGGTCCAAAAGGTTAATTTTAAATTCAGAAAAGTTAATTTCAAATTAAAAAGTTAGTTTAAAGTAAAAAGGGTTAAATCGCCTGATGAAAGCTATGTAATTTTAAATTCATTTCTATAAATTTTATTCTAGTTCATATGGTATTTTAAAATTATTTTAAATATAAACAAAAATTTTAAACAGCAAGGAGTATTACTTCCCATGCTTTACTTTCATATCGTCTCTCATGTTCTTTAATTTTTTTAAAGAAATGGTTAATTTCAAATTAAAAGAAGGTAAACTGGAATTTTTAAAAAATAAAAACGATTACCTGGTCGGAATATAGTATAATGTGTCAATTATACGACTAAAATTTAAAGCCTCTTTTATTATTGGTACGTTGTTTAGAAAAATACATGATAAGTTGAAGAAAAATGTATTAATACTACATAATACTAACTTACTAATTACTACCACGGTTGGATGCAGTGTGTATTAAGAGACAGATTTCTAGTTATGTTTACAATTTTCCTTTACTGTAAGAATTGTTTATATTTTTCAATTGAATGTTTTCATTTATATTGCCTGTGGAGCTGCTGTCATTTAAATTATAAATTTAATTTCCTCCCGGGCAAGAGGTTAAACTGCGTCCAATACCCCTCCTGTACCTGGTGGCCTTCCGTAACACTTTATCCCCTTACTAACCTCATTACCTAACCTTCCACTCCTATAATAACCCCTTCCCCAACACTAACCTCCTCCCTGTTCCTTCTCCCGGCGTCCCAGGCTTTAAGGAGGGGGAGGTGTGCCGGTTCACCTATAGTGGCAGCCCCACTAATCGGCTAGGGC